TTTTATCTTGTTTAAAAGTATATTAGTGTGGCCAAAGATTTGGTGTGTTCGTCCTCTTCCCACCCACAGCAGCGCAGGGCTACTCTGTGCCTGAACTACACCCACACTCCTGTCTCGCAGGAAGTGGACAGACACGCAGTTTCCCAAATCAGAAATCAATTTGCAGCTTTCTGCAAACACTTGCAGCAAAGACAACACGGTATGAAGAGTTCAACAGGAGCAACGTGTCCTGCTTCTTGTCAGCATGTAGCGCTGCAGACAACTCAGAGCTGGAAAACTAGACATGGTTAAGTGTAAGCTTCTTCTATGGTATAATCTGTGTAGATGCTGCAAACAACCACTCATAAAAGATAAACAGCTCTTTGGGCTTGCTGATTATCACTGAAATCACCATGAATGTTCTGATAATCACGATGCCTCTCAAGGTTTGTTGAAAGGAAAATACCTGTGAAATTTAAAAAAAGAGGCACTTCAGCCCTTCACAGTGGTGATCAGAGATTATCACACAGAGGCTACAAGCTTTTCTGGGTACCAGATTATCACAATTAAGGTCCCATTCCTGCATGACCTTAGCTTTACCTTGATACTCAGTGTTTGACCCGACAGGATGGATGTCTGTCTGATAAATACCAGGTTCCATCTTTATTCTTTCATTTGAATGTGGGCAGACTGTAACTTGAAACAACGTCAAAGCACCTGCTTCAGTCAGCAGACTTTGCTTCAAACCATCTGAAAACAAGCTCTGTTTGTTCTTAAAGCGTTAACTTTCTCTTGCAAGTTTCTTCACCCTCAGCTGGCTGGAGAGGATAAATGAAGCCTGCTTTATTCAGTTTAACCTCAGATGTTTTTAGTGTGACACATTTCAGCAGGTGAGAAGTTAAAAGCAGGATTAAATTATAACACAATATTCCAAGTTTTGAAACCTTCACATGTGTTTTACCTGTTGTTTTGTCTGTACAGCACTTTGGTTGGCCTTGTTGCTGTTTTAAGTTCTTTATAAATAAAGTGGTATGGTATGGTTTAAACCATTAACTTAATATGGAAAAAGGATGGCACAACTTGAATTTTACTAAGACGACTCTTGGTCTCAACTGACTGGACGGGCAAGAAGAACATTAATGTGGAAAGCAATCAAGAAGCCATGGTAAGTCTGGAGGGGCTGCAGAGATCCATAGCTCAGCTGGTACAATTTTTCCATAGGACTACTATTAGCCCTACCCTTCACACATCTGACCTTTAAGTGAAGCTAATGTTGGAAAAAAGATATAAGTTTTGTTTTTAGTTAGACACAAGTCATGTAGGAGACACAACACACATGCAGATAAAGGAGCTCCACCCAGCTCAGAACAAAAGAGAACTTTTTGCTCTAAATTCAAAAATGTTGAAGTCTATACAAACTATAACTATACTTTTCCACCCCCTCCACGTCTTCTCCCATGATGGAAATAGGGTTGGACCTGTTCCTGTTTCTCCTGAAATCTACAATCATCTCCTTTGTTTTGTTCACATTCAAGATGAGATGATTGTTTCCACACCATGCCACAAAGAGGTCGACCAGTTCCCTGTACTCAGCTTCTTGTCCATCTCTGATCCACCTGACCACTGCAGAGTCATCAGAATATTTATCATACCATACCATACCATACCACTTTATTTATAAAGCACTTAAAACAGCAACAAGGCCAACCAAAGTGCTGTACAGATAAAACAACAGGTAACACACAAAGCAAAATACAAAATGAGGTAAATCAGAATATAGACATAAAAACGATGCAGATAATGACGACAGACCAGTGTGGAGCACACAGGATCAAAACACAGATCATCTGGTGTTGAAAGCTGCTGAATAGTAGTGAGTTTTTAAACGGGACTTGAAAACCAAGAGGGAGGGGGCATGTCTGACAAGCAGAGGTAACTCATTCCAGAGTCTTTGTCCTGCTACAGAGAAGGCCCTGTCACCTCTGCGCTTAAGACGAGTTCCTGGAACTGTGAGGAGCAACTGGTCCGCTGACCTCAGGGAGCGTGGTGGGACATATTTCTGCAGGACTGTATTTCTGCAGATGACAGGAGTCTGTTTTGTACTGGAAATCTGAGGTGTACAGAGTGAAAAGGAATGGTGAGAGTACAGTCCCCTGTGGTGATCCTGAGCTACTGACCACCTGGTTGGACACACAACCCTTCAGTCTCACAAACTGTGGTCTGTCCGTCAGGTAGTCTTTGATCCAGGCGATTGTTGAGGCCTCCACCTGAGTCTTCTGGAGTTTCTGACAAAGCAGATCAGGCTGGATTGTGTTAAATGCACTGGAGAAATCAAAGAACATGACTCTCTCAGGTGCTGTCTGCCTTTTCTAGATGACAGTGAGTTTGCTGAAGCAGGTGTATGATGGCATCTTCAACTCCAATTCCACGCTGATAAGCAAACTGCAGTGGGTCCTGATATGTGCTTGTTTGTCTAGTCAGGTGGGTCAGCAGAAGTCTCTCTAGGACCTTCATGATGTGGGATGTCAGGGCAACAGGTCTATAGTAATTGAGGACTGATAGGTGAGTTTTCTTTGGTACTGGAACAAGGCAGGAGGTTTTCCACAACACTGGAACCTTCTCCTGGGTCAGGCTAAGGTTGAAGAGGTGCTGCAGAAACCCACAGAGCTGCTCTGCACAGACCTTCAGGGCTCTGGGACGGACACCATCTGGACCTGCAGCCTTATTCCGGTTCAGTCTCTCCAGCTGCTTCCTCACCTGACTTCTGGAGACACAGAGGGGGGAGGTAAAGGAGGTATCAGCATCTTCTGATTTGGTTGAAGACCAACATGTAGAAGAAGGGTCCATGACCCAAGTGTGCTTGGGTGTCATGAAAGGTGCTTTTTAAATAAAATGATTATTATTATTATTATTATTATTATTATGATTATTATTATTATTATTATTATTTTTATTATTATTATTATGACTGAGGTGGTAGATACAATATTTGAGGTGTGACAGGACAGCCTTGGGTCAATGGAGGGTGGTATGTATGTTTGGCTGTGGGCAAGAGAGGAGGCTGCTGAGCTTGTTCCTGAACTAAACCTATTGAAGAACGTGTTCAGTTCATTGTGTGGTGATATTGCCCCTAGTGGTGTGTCTCTGTCCTGTTGCTGTTC